TTAATATTCACCGATTCAAACGGGGTTAGATCGCCGAAATGACAGCCCATGGTCGGATGAAATCCGAGTCAATTCCGGTACGTAGAACCGGCTGTCGTGGGAATACAACTCTCTTCTACTCTGATTGTAACTCAGTGCTGATGGTACTCATCTCAATAAAGTATTGAGAACTCTACCCGCTGGTAAAATTAATTATTTAACAGGAATGCTTATTATTTTAATACCGGACAAAGAATGGTTAAGCGGTTAGTCGAAAAAAAGCGGTTATACGAATAGTCGACTACTTACGACTATCCGGATTTGGTTAGATAATGTGCCATGTCCTAAGTCACAACGACTCACCTAGCTCCAGGAAATTGGAGAATTCCAATATAAAGCTACGTGCTATTGCTCCAAAGGACAGCAGAAGGCATTGGCAGAATAAGGTAATCTCTTCTCAACGCATGAAGGGCCTAAATAGTGAAATACCACTAGCTATTCTGCTAACCGACAGCGTTATCAAAACTGTTAACTTCACTAAGGAGGTTACCCTCAGCAATAAGGCTGAATGGAATAACTCCGCTCTCGAGCTACTACTTAGGGACAGTACAATAAAGTGGTAGACCGACAGCTCGTCGGAGGGAATTGGCGCAAGAATCGAAGGACCACGCGATCACTGCGTACGAAATCATATAGAACGACTGAACAGTCTATCAAATCAAAGGGTGAAGCGATGGATAGGGAAAAGCATTGGCAATAATTTCTAGGCATGCGCCATGACAAGTTGCTAATGGATGGGTACAAACTTAAAAGGTTTAAATAGGTCCCAAAGGAAAAACTCAGGCTACTGGGCCACAACCGGCCATTGAAAGTTCAAGAAGCATTTATAGTACATACATATATAACGTGATAACTCAAACCTGAGCTCCAGAACACCTGTTAATTGACTGCATGTATGCGCAGGATAAAGGCCCTTGGAAGTATGTTTCCAAATAGGGATCACATCGCCTCAATAGCCGAATGCTGCAAATGGAATAATATTTTTCAAATCCTATCCGGTTAGTCGATTAATCGAAGACTAACTTTACACTTTTAAGAAAACATATTTTGCTTAACTGATTCTTATTTAATTTGTGTTTATTTATAATAATTTATTTAATAATAAGTTGTGCTTAAAAATACGTTTGCAGTGGAAAAGATCTTCAATATAATATTTGTATACATACCTACATATTTAATAGTAGTTTTTCGATAATTCTAACCAAGTATATACTAAAATTTAAGCTATTGCTTAAGGACGGTCAATATAATAATAGTACTTATTTAATAAAATTTAATTGTTTTATGAAATTTTATTCAATATGTAATTAACTGGTATGCAACATTTTAAGAATATTCTTTCAAATGTTTAACTATTAAATTGATTAAATATGTTAGATTTTCAATTTTTCATAAAAAGTTGTTCATTGCTTTTGTTGATTTTAAATCGTAAATAAATAACTTTTTTAAAATACAAATATATTTGGGCACCCTTTTTAATACTATGAAAAATATCAACTTTTTAAATTAAACACAAAACTTTGTGCAAGTTTCTGTCTTAAGTCTTTTATATATTTGAAACTGCAAATATGAATTTATTTGCAAATAAATAAAATAAAATGCAACTATTCAACCGATATTTTGTGCAAACGTATTCTGTGTGCTTTTAGGCTGTAAATATGACCAAAAGCCTTTCCGCAATCTGCACAAGTATGCGCTTTCTGCTCAGTATGTTTCGCTTCAATGTGACGATCTAACGTGGACTGGCTTGTGAAACGCATTGGACAGCGATCGCATAGAAAAGGTTTCTTCGCTGGATCATGAACATAGGAATGTCGCGTGAGATGTGATTGTTTTGGAAATCCTTTACCACACTTGGCGCAGATGAACTTCGGTTGACGTGGCACACAATCGTGTAAATATTTCACATGCTCTTGTAGAAAACGCTCCTCCACATATGCTTCAGGGCATTGTGTACATTTGAATATACGCATTGATTCATCTTTATGTGTTTGAGACATATGAGTACGAAAATACTTTGCATAAGAGCTGACAAAGTCACACTGTTCGCATTTGAATTGAAAATCGTAACGTTTAGGTGGACGGCCCTTACTTCTTCTAATAATAGCAGGTTTTTCGATAGATTCAGCAGCACCCTTATCGTCGAGCAATTCAATATCATCAGCATCGAAAGCTGTGGTGTTTGCAAAGTTTTCATTTTCATAATCCAATTCGCTACAGTACAACATTTTAGTTTTCTAATAGCTATAAGAAAAATAAGAAAAAACGTTAACTTCGTCACAACCATAATATACCCTTTTTCAGGGTACAAAAAAATTATTTTCAAAGAGTTAATACTTTCAAGATTTGGTAGAAATATTATTAAATTTACCCATTTTCTTACTAAGCACAAGGAAATCGTGCTCATACTTGCTAAGCATATATAGGTACCTAGCATAGTGTGCGTATGTAGATGGCTGGTCAAGCAATCGTTTGTTAGCATTTTCAGTATTTTACTAATTAACATACATATGTGCAGGTGGATTTCAACGCCTTGTTAAGTTTCCGTGTATAAATATGGTTAATTGATACCACACCCAAATAATAATTGTGTATACTATCTATAAAATATTATTTCTGCTTCGGCTTCGAAAAGCTTTCATTTTTTTTTTCTAAAATAAAAATAGAAATAAAGAAATTACCTTCAATTGTAAATAAAAAAATACCTGTTGCACGTTTGGCTACTCAGGTAATTATTAACCGTCTACGCTCAATATTCAATAACTCGCTTACTGCAGGCAATGTTTATTTCTAACCCATTGAATATGCAATTTTTTTATGTTTCATCAAAGTAAAAGAAAAATGTCAGTCAACGATTCAACATCTCCTGAAATTGTTTACAAAATATGAATGAAACATCTTCGTTTTTATTTATTAGAAAAGTGTGGCCAAGTCAGTAGCATATCGAGCTGCCACTTATCAAACGGGTATTATACATTATACTTAGACATAAATTATTTAAATGACTCAAATTACTTTTTAAATATTTAATATATTTGATAAAAGTTCAGAAACCTTTACCATATATTTACATAATATACATAAATTACATCTAATAGTTTCAAACCCAAATGTAATGTAATATTTTTTATTTGTGACAATTTTTTTATAACTTTAAATTCACTAAAAGATCTGGTAGCAACCATATTTCTTAGAAAAAAATGTGGCAAACAGATTTGAAGAATTAGCATCAACCATGCTTTTTATATTGATATAAATTTTTCTAAAATAATTGCGGCCAGAATGAAAACGTGCAAGTTGTGTAAAAGTAAATCCGAATCTGTTTTTGAGCCCAAGGAATATATACTGGGCACAAAAATTTCTGATGTTATAAAATTTATATTTAGTGATCAGGTAAGTGCAGTGCGATAATTGTTTGAATTGAAATTCTTAGCCTCATTTTCTTACAGTCGTTGGAGTTTCCACCAAAATTTTTCATATGTTCTGCGTGTGCGGCGGCGTTGGTACAAACTGAAATTGTGCTAAAGCGACTTTCGGAGGCTTTGCCACACAGCAGAAATTTTGGAAAACTAAACTTATCCAATCATAAAAACAATGATAACAACGAGGAGCCTCAGACCGAGCAGAATGATATAAATGAAATTAGCAAAGCTTCGGCATCTGAAACCTTTCTGAAGGATTGGATATTTCGCTGTACCCATTGCGAATACACTACCAGAAAGCCTAAATTGTACAAAACTCATTTGACAACTAGACATGAACTGAATAATCCACGCATTTACCAGTGTATGTATTGTTCGGAATCATATCAACGCATAAACGCCATACAAAATCACATCGGCAGCATACATGAAAATAAACCGCGACAAAAACGTCAACGTCGAAAGACAATTGCATTTGATTCGCCAAGTGTATTAAGCAGTACAACCATCAGTAAACAGATGGAAAATAACACTCCAGTCGGTAATGTCAACAATGAAGCAAATGGTGTTAATACAAATAATGATAGTTATCAAGCAGATGTCAGCAAAAACTATGAATTTACATGCAGTCACTGCATTTATAAAACAATATTTCCAAAACATTTCAAGCGGCACTTATCAGCTAAACATAATATTGAAGACATAAGAATTTATAAGTGCAAACGATGTCCTAGTACGTATGCACGACAATTTGCTTTGAATAACCATATCGCTTACGAACATGAAAACAAACCTAAACCACAACGCAGAAAGTCAGTAGCTTTAGAACAAAGTATATTAACCAAAGACGAGTTGATAATACCGAAAGAAGAAATTTCGGATGATAATGACGACCTAAGATGTGAACTTTGCCTTTATCAAGCGCAAGACTCAAAAACGCTTCGAAATCATATGGTAATATTGCATCAAACTGATAGTCTAAATCAAAACAATAACAATAATCAAAAGGACAACAATTATAAAAATAATGTTTATTCGGAGATCACATATGATAATCAAGAAGAACAGCAAGATCATGTATTCCAAGAACCTTTTAAAAAACCACGTAATCAATTAAGTTCGAGTGAAATATCATCTTCAGAATGGGTCTTCCAATGCCCACGTTGTGATTTTGAATGCGCCAAAAAGAAAGCATTCAAAGCTCATTTAATTAATGAACATGGCATATATGATAGCGATATATACAAGTGTATTTACTGTTCGTCAACATACGATCGTTATAGCTCGTTGCAGAATCATGTAGCAGTGAGTCATAGCGTTGATTTGACAGGAATAGAATCGGATTCTAGTCAAGATAACGTTGCAAAGAAACAAAAACTTAATGGAACTGCAAATAGTTTAGAAAAACACACTCTTGAAAACAGCAGTCAGGAGCAAATGCCGTCAAAAAAACGTAGAATGGAACGAGAAAGTAAAGAATCTTGTGTTGTATGTGGCAAGCTTTTTTCCACCGTGGACAAATTGCGCGCTCATATGGACAAACATCATGGAGGCGACGAAATCAAAAAGTGTCCGAATTGTGATGCACAATTTCGTACGTTGGAGAAGTACGAGGCACATCTGTTTAGCGAGAAATGTCTCAACACTAAGTTAGCCTGCCAATATCCTGGTTGTCCGAAACGTTTTAATAGACCATCAAAAATGCAACAGCACATGCGTGAGAAACATCCCGATCTAATAGACTAACGTTTATTGGTTTTAATATAATTTCTATTTTTTGTTTAATATTTTGAACACGATTACGTATCCTCCATGCTGAGTTTTAACTAGTATCAATAAAGGGTGCTATCAAAATATATGTATATGCATTTAAAATCTTACAGTGTAATTTTACTTAAATCATTATACGAAATTTTGATTGTACTTATGTATAATATATTTCTGATGAGAAATAAAACAAACAACATTAATTTCAATAGAATTAGTTTTATTTTCGGTAAATATTTGAAATACACATTTTCAATCGATGATACATATACAGTTATGTATGCACGTATAAAGTAATAAATATGTTCAACAACCAATTATGCAAGTCCCCGCTTCCCCATTTCGTAAATGATCATATTAAAAAAGGCTCATGAAAAATAATAAATTTGCACTTAATAAACTACACTACATACACATTTTCAATTTATACAAAGTAAACTCGGCAATAATATTAAAATTGCAAAAAATGTTAGCATATGCCCTTTATATAAAAAGCAATTAGGGAAATAAGCGATCTCAACCAAAAAGTTCATTTTTATCTCTACCAGATACATTTTAAGGGTCATGGATGAAGGGAAAACTTTAATAATATTGCAGTTTTTATTTTTAATCTAAAGTTACGAACGTTAGACGTATCTCAAGTTTGCATTATTATGCTTTGCTATGTATTTCCGCTTGCGCGCATTTCATAACCTCTAAGGCACCCTTTTTAATCAATTCCTCAGCCAATTGTTGGCCTAAGGCATCACTACGTTTATACAATTCACGATTGTAACAAGCATGTTGATACAAACCGCAGTAGAGATTATCTACATCTTCAATCAGCACCGGAATCGACTTCGGTTGTGGCTTCTCTTCATCAGCATAGTCGAACATTTTTACAGTTTTCTGTAGGAACGGACACTTGCCCGCTGCTGCGCCTGGCGCACTGCTTGAAAACTCATTGTCATTCGCTGTGCTGTGCATACTGGCGAACGGGCATTTTGAGGTAGACGGTAAGGCCGCAACGACAACATTGTCAGTTTCTTCTTTCGGTTTTTGTACGAGTTCTTTGGTAACGGGACATTTCCCCGCTGTAGCCAATGTAATCTTTTCTTCTTTACTTACAAATGGGCATTCGCCCATAAAATCTTGCCCTACATCCATTTTTAAGGGGCAATGCGGATTGTTTAAATTCGAGTCGCCGCTAGCGAGCAAATCCAAGTTTGTGCTAATATTCCCATTATCATTGCCATTTTCTGCATTGTTTATCATTTCTATTTTGTGTAAATCAGCGCTAATGACAGGGCAATGTTTTGCTAAGCTTATGTGTTTTTCAATAATATCGTCCATGCTGTAGGCGGTTGTAAGCTTTTCTATTTCTGCATCGTCATTTATCACTGGAGGACTGTGACGTTGTTCCGGACTGCTTGACTCGTTGCTTCGGCGTCGTTTAGTAGGCGGTTGATCACTGCTATCGTCGTCGCTATCTTCAACTAAATTAGCATTATCATTGTTATCAGCTTTTTTCACTTCTTCTACGGCGAAGCTGCAGGCTTTCTTGTCACGTATTTCGGTCGCACCATCCAAACTCCAGACGGCGCCCACCAATGACAACGCGCTATTACAGTTATTTTGATTTGTTTCAGTTAGATCACCATCTAAATTACTCCAAACTGCTACGGGAGCACTGCAGCCACCACCTAAAGTCTTGAGGAAGCTACGTTCGGCTAATATGCGACAGGTTGTTGACAGGCACATTAAACTCTGCAACATTGAGAGTATTTCCTCATCATTCGCACGACATTCAACAGCCAAAGCACCTTGGCCGACAGCATATAGCAAATCGGTAGGTTCTAGTACCTGACTGATACGCTGCTCCCAACCCATACGTACAAGGCCAGCTTGTGCAAGTATTATGCCAGCGAATTTCGAATTAGCGGCATCCAATTTTGCAAGGCGTGTATTCAGATTACCGCGTATATCGCAAATGGTTAGATGAGGATATTGCCGACGGATTTGAGCTGTGCGTCGAAGCGAAGAAGTGCCTGTAACATAAACAATATAATTAATTATTTACCTACAGTTTATTAAAAAAAAGGAAGAAATTTACTCACCTATCACACAACCCTTTGGCAATGTTCCGATGGTGTGACCCTTGTATTCCTCACGCAGCACCAAAGCATCTCTAGCGTCTTCACGTTCAAGCACAGCACCAATCGCCATACCAGTTGGAAGTGCGGTGGGTAGGTCTTTAAGCGAATGTACAACGAAATCTACACCACCGTTGCGTAATGCGTCTTCGAGATCACGTGTGAAAAGGCTTTTCTCTCCGATTTTTGGCAGTGATATATTGAGAACACGATCGCCTATCGTTGACATGGTATCTACAAATATTATAAACACTAAACTTTTATTCTGATAAACGCAGAAATTAAAAAATATTACAAAATTCAACAAACATGCTAGTCATAGCAACAAATATAAAATATATGCTGTAAAACAAGTCAACAATAATTCACCTACAAGTTTTAATTTCTCATCCCAATAATAAAGAATTAAACAAGTAAGGAAAGCAGAGAAAATTAGCTTTATAAAATTTCTCCTCAACATCACATATAAGGTTCTATCGGGCGTATTGTGTGAAAGGTTAAAGCCCATCGTCAACAAACTGATTGGACCTTATCAGTGTGGCTTCAGGCCTAGCAAATCAACATCTGACCGGATATTCATCATCCGCCAAATCTTGGAAAACACCCATTAAAAGAGGATTGACACACACTACCTCTTCGTCGATTTTAAAGCTGCTTTTGACAGCACGAAAAGGAGCTGTCTTATGCCGCTATGTCTGAATTTGGTATCCCCGCAAAACTAACTGGGCTTTCAATAAGAGCACTACAAAAGTTTGTTTTAATAAAACAAAAACCGGTTTGGGATATCAGTGAAATTCTTTATTCGTAGAAAGTACATTCCATTTCCATTATGTATGGAACTTGATTCTTTTGCATGCCCACCACAGGCACGCTTGCAGAAGTCCATATGCTGAACACAATTTTCGACGGTTTCAAGGATAAATCGATATACTGCAATAGACTTGACGTAGCCCATTGAACGGGACCATTTCGTGAGATAACACGATCACCAAACTTGGTTTTCGATAAATCGTTTGGATATTTACTTATGGCGTCGTCCTGTTCGAATTTCGGTAGTAAATTTTAATAATTTCGACTCGTTATTGGATCGTATATCTTTCGATGGAACGATGAGCTGTACGAAATATACGACGAAATATATATAAATCTTGAAGTAAATTTTATGTTCAGTATTTTTATTTTGTACCGAAATGAAATGAGGTGTGTTATTTTGTATTTTGTTAATAATTCATGTAATTTTTATACCATTGAACTAACGTGATTTTTATACTCTCGCAAGAAAGTTGTTAAGGAGAGTATTATAGTTTTGTTCACATAACGGTTGTTTGTAAGTCCTAAAACTAAAAGAGTCAGATATAGGGTTATATATACCAAAGTGATCAGGGTGTAGAGTAGAGTTGAAATCCGGATGTCTGTCTGTCCGTCCGTCCGTCCGTGCAAGCTGTAACTTGAGTAAAAATTGAGATATCATGATGAAACTCGGTACATGTATTTCTTGTCTCCCTAAGAAGGTTAAGTTCGAAGATGGGCAAAATCGGCCCACTGCCACGCCCACAAAATGGCGAAAACCGTAAACCTATAAAGTGTCATAACTAAGCCACAAATAAAAATACTAAAGTGAAATTTTGCACAAAGGATCGCTTTAAGGAGGGGCATATTTGAACGTAATTTTTTTGGAAAAGTGGGCGTGGCCCCGTCCCCTACTAACTTTTTTGTACATGTCTCTGAAACTACTATAGCTATGTCAACCAAACTCTATAGAGTCGTTTCCTTCAGGAATTTCCATATACAGTTCAAAAATGGAAGAATTCGGACAATAACCACGCTCACCTCCCATACAAAGGTTATGTTGAAAATCACTAAAAGTGCGTTAATCGACTAACATAAAACGTCAGAAACACTAAATTTTACGGAAGAAATGTCAGAAGGAAGCTGCACCCAGGCTTTTTTTTTATGGAAAATGGGCGTCGCCCACTTATGGACCAGAAACCATATCTCAGGAACTACTCGACCGATTTCAATGAAATTCGGTATATAATATTTTCTTAAAACCCTGATGACATGTACGAAATATGGGTRRAATCGGTTCACAACCACGCCTTCTTCCAATATAAMGCTATTTTGAATWCCAYCTGATGCMTTCTCTGTATAATATATACATTAGGAACCAATGATGATAGCGGAATAAAACTTTACACAAATACGGTATTTGAGCTGAGGTATCCCTTGTGGAAAAATTTTCGTGATCGGACTATAACTTTTCAAGGTCCCTGATATCGAACACGAAGAACTCAGTGCCTAACCTAATCTAATCTAATTTTTCACCGAAAATATCGGTAAATTTCTCAGATATTTTCAAGTAATTCAGAGGGCATCATTTTTATACTCTCGCAATAAGTTGCTAATAACGGTATATATCGTCAGATATATGGTTACATATACCAAAGTGATCAGGGYGACGAGTAGAGTTGAAATCCGGATGTCTGTCTATCCGTCCGTGCAAGCTGTAACTTGAGTAAAAATTGAGATATCTTGATGAAACTTGCCATGCGAGAGTATAAAATGTTCGGTGACACCCGAACTTAGCCCTTCCTTACTTGTTATTTTTAATTTTAAAGCCATTGAAGAAACTAAATTATCATACTGTGATTTTTATGCCCTGAACAGGGTATATTAAGTTTGTCACGATGTTTGTAATACCCAAAAGGAAGGGTCGGAGGCCCTATAAAGTATATAAATGGTCAGTATGTCGAGCTGAGTCGATTTAGCCATGTCCGTTTGTCTGTCTGTCCGTCTGTCTATATATATACGAACTAGTCCCTCAGTTTTTAAGATATCGTTTTGAAATTTTGCAAACGTCATTTTCTCTTCAAGAAGCTGCACATTTGTCGGAACTGCCGATATCGGCAGTGAACCATCGCAATCAAGTTCTTGTATAGAAAACTTTCATATTTCAT